CACTGATAATAACTGTTTGTTTATGTCTGTTTGGCTTACATGCCATATTAACTTTATATTTTGATATTTAATGTGAGATGTTAATGTTTGCTTGTTTCACTGCCCTCCAAATAACTAATAATTATGCAGATTTAGCATTACCAGTATCCCTTTCATTTCAGTGTGTAAAGCATCATATCATTGTCATATGGTCATATTTTGTTTTAAAGTCTAACTACTGCAAACTAGGTTGAAGCTGCCAGTGTAACTTTGGAAGACAGTGGGTATAGGCCTGGATAACATGCTCAAATGCCATGTTTATTTTGTATCTTTTTAAACTGGGATAAGGCTGCATGATAACAGTCTGCTTCGGAAAGAGTCAACATCCCCTGCAATTTATTCTCGGGATCAATAAAGTATGTCTTCTTGTTCTTGTTCTTCTTCTTGTTCTTGTTCTTGTTCTTGTTCTTCTTCTACTTCTTCTTCAAAAGTTAATTAATAACTTTATTATGCTTTCAAATAAAATTAAGCAATGTAGTCAGAGGTGCCAAAGAGAGCGAGCTGATGCCAAGTATGTATCTGTGATCTCAGATATATGTTGAAACCTGTTGCTACTGTTGGGGGTTTTCTCCACAGAGCAGCAGTTTAAATCAGAGCCACTGCAGCTCTTTGTCAGCCACCAGATGTTCCATTGTTTGGCTCTGCGGTGTTAGGTTGCTTCAGTTGAAGTTGGGACACTTGCTGCATCTTTTGAATTTCGCCCCATTGAGTGCCGTCACCACCAACCCCCTTCTCCTTCTGCCCCCCCAAGCTACTCAGAGGGGTTTTACCCCTCCTCCCCAGTCCCCTTTAACCCCCTGCAGACCCTTATAGTTTCCCCACCACAACTATAAACCCCCTCTAGATCTCCACTTTGCTGCCTGTGCTCTTTGTCTCCCCCTCGGTGCAGCCTTCAGTAATCACCTCCCCCTCCCCCCACACACACATCAAAAGGCAATTTATTGACCAATTACTGCAGTGTGAGAGTTTAGGCCTTAGAGAGTGTATTTGCATCAATATACATTGAAATGCTTTAAATGCAGATTTCACTCCCACACAGTGTGGGCTATCAGACTGTCTCTTATCTGATGGTGAATGTATAGATGCCTCTGTTGGGCCTGCATGGTTACAATTCCTTCTTTTCAGCCTGTGTCTGAATGTGACTGCTGTTGTCGTCAGGGCCTGAGTCGCCTCCACTGTGGAACTTATGTAATAATCGGTACCCTGCTTTTCTCTTCCCCACTATAGTGCTGTATGTGTGTGGGAGAGAGAGAGAGAGTCTCTGTTATACAGCCGAGGAAACACACAGGCAGCACAGACTTCCTGTTTTTGTGTTGAGCCCACTGGAGGCAGGAAGCAAGAGGAACCGCTGCCCTGCTCTTTTTGCTTTCTGATGGGTGAATCTTTCCCAACAGAAAGGGGCTACTGCTTAGTCAGCTGCCACCCACTTACTTACCCTACACATTAGGGGTAATGGGGTGAATCTCTGCCTCTCTGAAAGCCAATAACAACAAATCCAATAATGTCACTTGGAGCCTGTTGGCCTGCAATGTCACTTCAGCAAACCTTCCTATGGGCCCGTTAACTTAGCGGTGGATGATAGTAAGCTCTTATCTTTGCAAGAAAATGAAGAGATGTGCTTCTTTGTGTGTGTGTGTGTAGTTCCTGGTTTTATACATGGTAAATGACAAAGGGTTCAAGCCAAAATTAGGCAGAATCCCAGTTGGAACAAAGAAACTGGTGGTGGCAAACATGCCTGAGTGCTCGCTTTGAAGGACTGATTAAGGTTATAGTCATCTGCCTTGCCTGAAGCCCTCAGGCTGTGTGGTAGGGGTGGGGGCTGATAAGAGAGGAGGGGGGTAGTCCAGGCTGTTACCCTCTTTGTTCTGGCCCGCTCCACTCATGCCTGCTTTTGTCTCCTCCCATAGCCTACCACTGAGAGAGCATTATCTCTCTATCCGTCTCGCGCCAAAACAGAGAGGCGTGTTGCTTATTTCTTCCTCTTTTATTTCTCTCTGTGCTTTTTTTCTAAGTATGTTGTACCTCACATGTTTCCAAGGCAACCCAATGACTGCAGGTACAGGTAAGGTGTACAGAGGCAGCCAATCCAGTCCCTGTCCCCCTTTTTTCTTTCTCTCCTTTTATGCGCCTCCCTCTCTGTAGCATTTCGCGCCACTCCAGGGTGCTTGGGGAGGGGAATGGTGTCACAGCCTGTATGAAGAAAGGCTGGCTGCTCTGAGCCTCGCGCCAAATGCCGGCGTTATTCAAATCAGCTCAGTGGGTGCGGCCCAACTGTCTCCATGTCCTGTTAACCCCATCAGCGCTCCAGACTAGCAAGCAGAAACACAAAGACAGAGGCAAGTGTAGCTCAGCTTTCTGCCACATGAAGAGGAAATGCATAATTGATGTTGCCCAGATATAGCAGAATGCGAAGTTATTACTTCCACTGATGAAATAGGTCAAACTCATGTTAAAAGTGTACGTTTTGCTCTATCAGAGTCCATTTTAACGCATGAAATGTGGTATTTCTATGCAAAGCTTTTAATTTTGACATTAGACCAATTTTTTGGTCTAATGTCATTGGTAAGTCATACGTTTTCAAAAAAATAGTTTATTCTATTAAATCAATAGCTTTTAGCTCTTAATAATGCATAATAACTATCACACTGAAAGTCTCTTAAGAGAGGGGTTATTATAGCCACACAGTTACTATCCACAAAGTTAAAGGGTTTCAAGATACACAAAAACTAATGTTTTCAGATCTACTTCCTCTCTCACACTCACACAGTTCCTCTTTCAAGTCTTCTTTGTCTACAACGAATAGAGCCATGAATTGAGTAGTAAAGTATCCAGGACCACACCGGATGGCTGAGAGGCTTCCTATACTCTACTACACTCTAGTGGCTGTGAGCATAAAATGCATCAAATCACGTCTTAAGGTTTCAGTACCACCACACCACAAAGACTCAATTGGAAAGTGTAAATCATGATTAAATAAATATATTTTGTCAAATCTTCAGATTCAGATCTGTTTTTTGCTTATTTTAATTGTAGTCTCCATAAGTGTTGGGACACACTGATGATTGTGCATGTACAATTTCTGCCTGCTGACATCTGTAATAAGTGAAAAATGCAACAAAAATAAGAGAGCAAATACATTGAATGCGTCTACATTTCCTAAGGATTCGACTATAAGACACTATCCTTCATCTGGCCTCAGTCAATCGATAAAGCTCTTAGTTTGTGGTCTCTGGAGAGCCCCAAGGAGAGTGTGTGGTCCGAGCCAGACACATTATCATGAGGGTTACATGAGCACAATTGCAAACAGCACTCTGCAATCAGTTTCATGTGCTGCCTTTAGAAGTATTGGAGAGATAGTTGTCATTGGTCGCTATTACATTTGGCTGTGGCTCAGGTCACAGTTTGGTCCTTGTTTCGTCCCCTGCAATATCAAAGTGTCATCGTACAAAAACCCTAATTGTTTGGTTATAGTATAGTATATTAAAATAAGTAATAGTATAGTGTGTTGAAAATATAAAGAGTCATAGTTTATTTTGTCAAAAACTATGCAGAGTATAATATGTCAAAAATATCAGAAAAAACGACATAGTATAGTATGTTGAAAAATATGCAAAAAAACCTTCAATAGTATGTTGACATTTTCAGCAAAAACGAAATAGAATAACTCTGTCTTACTTATGCAAAAACTCAACATAGTAAAGTATGTCAAAAGTATCAGAAAAGACGACATAGTCTAGTATGTCGTAAATATGCAAAAAAACACAAAATAGTATGCGGAGTGTAGTATGTCGTAAATATGCAAGAAAACATAAAATAGTAACGTATGTTAAAAATGTACACAAAGACGACATAGTATAGTATGTGGAAAAATATGGGGAAAAAACGACGTGGTAAAGTATCTTGACATTTTCAGAAAAAAAGACACGTATAGTTTTTAAAAGTTCAGCCACCAAGCGTTACAACATATCAAGGGAAGGTTACCTGCAAGACATGGCAAACAGGACAGCAGGGTGTGCATTTTGTGTCTATTATCCTTTTGATCTTCGAGTCCCTTTCTGGAGGTCTGCTTAGTGTCCTTATTATTTAAAATGCATTAATGCTTTCATCTTTCTTCCCTGCATCACCAGTCTCCCATTCTGATTAATGTCATATTTGGTGGTGCAGCCAATCAGATCTCAACTGGGATGTCCTAGCCTGTCGTTGCCTGGCAACTGGGACTGCTGCTACATAATTCAATCCACAGGAGGCGTGTGGCGCAGTGGATAGAGCCTTGGGGTTGGGATAAGGGGAGCACAGGTTCAAACCCCACTGCAGTCAACATGTGGTTGTGTCCCTGGGCAAGACACTTCACCCCAAATTGCTGTGGGGATTGTCCACAGTATTGAGTATGTAAGTCGCTTTGGATAAAAGCGTCTAACAAGTAACATGTAATGTAATGTTGGAAAGATCCTGCAGGGGTTTATATAGCAAGAGGCAAATTACCCAGGATGGACTCCATTTCCCACACTGCTGAGCAGGAACGTGAAACGGTAGATAGAAAGACAGAAATGTAGACCACATGGAATACAATGCAACATAATATGAACAACCCTCTTCACAAGCGATGGATATTGCATTGTATGAGAAAACTGTTTTGCTTCTATGCTTAAAAATATCACCTCCACCTCTCTATTAAGAGAACTGAAGCATTACAAGCATCATGACACAGCGCTGTTCTGACACAGCGGCATGTTTTGTCCAATAGGGAGCATCAACCAGTCGTCACTGGTTAAATCACATGCTCTGCTGCTGCTCCAGGGAATTAGACATGGGAAGGGTTAAAAAAAAAAAGGTGGGAGGATGCAAGTGGATGGAGTCAGCAGTGTATGTGTGATAGAGAGAGGCAAACACAGGAAAAGACAAGCACATAAGAGCTGAATGAGGATTACAATGCGTATGATGCTAGAGACAGGAGGTAATATGAACAGATTGTTCTGAATCTCTCTTCATCTCTTTTTTATTCTCCAATCATCTTCTTTCTTTGGAATATCATTTAGCTAAGTGCCTCTGCTGCTATAGCCAGGGTGATCTCATCTCTTGTGTGCACCAGGACTGAAGAGTGAGTAAGGACTTAGCTGGGAACTCCCTGCCAAAGAGAGGGAGAGAGAAGAGAGCTATCAGGGGACACACTGGGATTCAGTGTGGACCTGAGGGAGAGCCGAGGAGGTAAGATGAGTCAAAACCACGGACACACACTGACAGCCCGTGGACCTGACTTGACCAGCATCAGCAACCGGGCCCCCTGGGAAGATGCTAGGATGAAGTTGAAGCCCTCCACCCCCACCAGGAAACCGAAACCTGTGAGTATCCTTCAGCCTTCATCCATTTACAGCTGCAGTATCAGAGTTGTTGACAGCAAAGGCGACCCAAGTCAAATGTAAACTTTGGAGTTTAATTATTTTTCTCTTACTTGATAGTGAAAGCCTGCCAAGACACACTTGTGTTCAGGACTTGAGGCTGCTTATTTCACGGTGGTCATGATCTGACCTGTCATCTTTATCAAAGGTAGCCCTGTTAACAAAACAAGGGTTAATATCATCATTACTAGCAAGTGCAGCATTGAAATCCTCAGTAAGAAAGAAAGTTAGGTTGAGATATCATTAGGTGAAGCAGGAGATAGAAACTCAGAAAGGCTTTAGAAACTGAGCAAAGCACAGAGGGCTCTTGTTTGATATCAGGTGCAAGGTTGTCTGTGAAGGCTATCATTTGGATTTCTTGGAAAGGATGCAGCAAAACACAAAAAAAGACAAAAACAACTGCTACTTCAGGCACTTACAGAATGTACGGAGTTGTCTCAGTTGTAAGTTAAAAAAATGTGACATAAAATATTTGTTAAATATTCTTTAAGCAGTGGAAGTACGTTTTCAACCCCAGGTTTCAGGTTAAAATATCTTCATGGTATGATCTGGTCTACTGACATTACAGTAATATCATTTACAAAAGCATAACCAAACAACAGAACCTCAAAATGTGTTGTGGATATAATATGATGACCAAAAGTGTGAGCACCATTATAAACAGTGTGCTATATTCTGTGTTGTTGTCCCAGTCTCATAATGCTTAACAGGCCGGCTCGGTATGTGGGCCTGCACTATCAGAGTCTTGCAAAGGAAAGTATTTCTTATCACATCGTCACCTCTATTCTGTCACAACAACTCACTCTGTTTACCCACTGTTGGCATTAAATAAAGCCTTTATTAAGTAGTTTCTTTCTACTTGGAGCTGTCAGCAAATCAACACTTTTCCAATATTCTAGTGCCACTGCTCACAATATTAATAATGCACTGCGTCCCTACAGGCAGAAAGGTTCACCGTAACCTTGTTTGATAGCAACCAAAAGAAGGAAAACTTGTTTATGAAGCAACATGTGTGTGGCAACAATTGTATTAAGGTGTTAGTTGTGCTTGTACAGAGATATCGTTGCCTTTGGAGAAAAAGCCACGCTAGCTGTTTCTACACATTACAGTCTTTATGCTAAGCTAGCTGATGTGTCTCGCTTATTGAGGTAAAGACTTATGCATCTGAAATAAGGCAACTGTGATTGTGAAGAAAACTAAAGCTGGGTGTTATTGCAACTCTTTTTTACTCTAGCCAAAGCCGGAGAATGCCATCACCATCGGCGTGTCGGCACGAGTCCTCTTCAACATGGAGAAGGAGCAGCAGATCTACGAGCAGCAGGGCCTTGAAGACTACATCAAGTATCAGGTGGAGCATGAAACGCAGCCTTTCAGCCCCGGCCCTGCCTTCTCCTTTGTCAAGGTCAGAGAACACACACACACACACACACACACACACACACACACACACACACACACACACACACACACACACACACACACACACACATGCACACACACACACACACACAACACACACACACACACACACACACACACACACACACACACACACACACACACACACACACACACACACACACACACACACACACACACACACACACACACACACACACACACACACACATCCCCACTGCAGTGGCATAGAGTATATATTTTCTTGCATATCTGAAATCTGTGTTTTGTCATGTTGCCAGGCTCTGGAGGCTGTGAACACTCAACTGAGGGAGCTTTACCCTGACAGCGAGGAGCTGTTTGATGTGGTGCTTATGACCAACAACCATGCATACGTTGGCCTAAGACTTATCAATACCATCAATCATCACCGTAAGTTACTAACATGAGTGATAAAGGCTTGTGACACACCCTTTTGTCTTGTGTATATTCCCATCCAGCATCACTGGTTCATTTTCTGAGTGCAAGCCATCACTTTAGCCATCAGATTGTTGACACAGTTCAGTTAGGTCTTCTTGTTCATTCTTGAGGTAGCTTTAAATCAGTAGTGTAAGCTAGATCTGTAACCTATAACTAGTGTTAGCATGCTGTATGTGTAACTGCAACTCCCAAATCAAAATATATTATGCATGCTTGGAATTACCACCCAACAGAAAAACCTTTAAGTAAAAAGCTTTAATTTTCATTGGTTAAATTACTGAAATTACATTACATTACATTACATTGCATTTAGCTGACGCTTTTATCCAAAGCGACTTACAATAAGTGCATTCGACCAAGAAGATACAAACTTGAAGAAAACAGAATCATATAAGTACATCAGGTTTCATAGAGCCAAAACATTTCAAGTGCTACTCAACTGGCTTTAGATAAGCCAGTCCTTTGTTAGTATATAAGTGCTTTGTTAGAAATTGTATTGCTCAAAGTGGAGTCGAAAGAGATGAGTTTTCAGTCTGCGCCGGAAGATGTGTAAGCTTTCTGCTGTCCTGATGTCAATGGGGAGCTCATTCCACCATTTTGGAGCCAGGATAGCAAACCGACGTGTTTTCTCTGATGGGAACTTGGGTCCCCCTCGCAGTGCGGGTGCATCGAGCCGTTTGGCTGCAGTGCACGTGCTGGGGTGTATGGTTTAACCATGTCTTGGATGTAGGAAGGGCCAGATCCATTCACAGCATGGTACGCAAGTACCAGTGTCGAAATAGCAAAAGATCAGATGTGCTGGCATTCACTAGCTGCTCTGCAGAGCTGATCCTCTTTATTCCCACAAACAGAGCGACCCATGACAATATGAACCCAGGGTATAAGTGGTGGGAGTCGTGGAGCTGCAGTCCTTGCTCCTTGCAGGGGTTTGGCAGCCCTTCACCATACGCCCACTGAAGGAGTCAGGCCAAACGGAAACATCTCAGGCTCTTTCCTCAACACTGGGTTTTCGCTTCATGCTTTATAACCTAAAGCCACCCACCACCAGCGCTCAGTATTTAATGTTGAGAGTGATCTGCTATGAATGTAAAAATATGAGGTTATGCACCAATTCATTTAATTCTTGCATATCTTGAATTGAATGCACATCAACTTATCTTTGATTCCTCTTCTCTGCAGAGTTGTTCATCGAGCGCTTCTGTATGACGGGAGGGAACAGTCCCATAGGCTACTTGAAGGCCTACCACACTAACCTGTACCTGTCTTCTGATCCAGACAAGGTTCGAGAAGCTCTGGAAGAAGGTACATATAACTGAGAAGCTGGCTAGCACTGTCCATAGTTGTAAGCACTGTTAATATTCATAATGCTTTATAAAATAATCACAGCACGAGAGCTCAATGTACATTAGCAATTGGTCATTGTTACCTGTGCGCCATGACGTCACAGGGTTAAAAAACTGCGACCCAGTAAAGTGTGAAAGCAAACAAAAACAAAACGGTGCTATATAATCAGATATTTTGCATCATAAGTATGATTATATTGTATGTGCATCATAGAAAGTGTTCCAAGAAGCTATATGACTGCACTACAGAGGCCAAAGTGAGTGTCTCTGCTATATGATATGTAACATGTATTTATACACACCTGTTTCTAATAACACACTCAGGTATAGCAGCAGCTACCATGTTCACCCAAGAGAAGATAACGGAAGTGTCGGACACCCAGCTGCGAGTCGCCTTCGATGGTGACGCCGTCCTCTTCTCTGATGAGTCTGAGCGCATTTACAAGGCCCATGGACTGGACAAGTTCTTTGAGCATGAGAAGGCACACGAGAACAAGCCTCTAGACCATGTACAGTATACACAAAAGAGACAATTATCAGTATCACACCACTATTGTAAATGTACTGTCGTACATTAAATGAAAGGACTGGTTTACTACAACTTAGGTATTAGTGAGTACTTTTGACAGCCATTTATATCACCTATGATAATAGTGTACAAATAAAAGTCATTTCTAGGATTGGGAATCATAGTGACATCTCTGCTAAATCAAAAACTTAATTTGGTCTTTAAACTAGTTTTATAATTTTACCATTTGCCCTTTCACTGCTATTCGGCTCATCTGAGGGTTTGTCATAGCCTTAATGCTTACTGCTTGCCATCTTTGAGTGCTGTTGTGATATCACTGTATACCAGGTCTCAGGAACTAACCTGGTAATTAGAAAAGACATGATGAACTACAGTTGGAACTATGATCGAAGTTATCACAGAGCTGCTGGTAAACTCTCTATAAAGAGAACAGTTTATTTCAAACTTTGGCACAGATTATACCAATTAGGCAGATTTGTATCTTGAGTTGGCTCTTAATAATATAAAAACTAGCAAAAGGTGACTTTGGATTTACTCTATTCCTTCTTCTTTGTGCAGGGACCCCTGAAAGGTTTCCTGGAGGCTTTAGGAAAGCTGCAGAAGAAGTTTTATGGCAAAGGTCAGCGCATGGACTGCCCCATCCGGACCTACTTGGTGACCGCTCGCAGCGCAGCCAGCTCTGGTACCAGGGCTCTGAAAACTCTGCGCTCGTGGGGTCTGGAGATCGATGAGGCTCTCTTTCTGGCAGGGGCACCCAAGGGCCCCATGCTTGAGAAGATCAGGCCGCACATTTTCTTTGATGACCAGATGTTTCATGTGGAGGGGGCAGCGGAAATCGGGACAGTAGCATGCCACGTGCCCTATGGGATATCTCAGGCAATGCCGAAGAAAGGAATCAATGACAAAGAGACTTCTTCAGCACCAAAGTAGCCTGAACATCACTGGGTTACAACTGTATATTTACCTGTTATGTTATCCATTGTTTCTTACGTTTTCAGTTAATAAAAAGAGGTACAACTTTCTAACAAGAGCTCAACTAAACCCTTTATCATTTTAGATTATTCAGGGTGCAAAATCGTATGACTATGTTGTAAAAAAGGGCTGCAGAGGATCTCTAGACCAAAATAAATTATAAAACCACATCAATTATCCACTAATGATTTGTAAACATTTATTACAGTACTATTACTAAATAGAGTAGATATACACCAGTCAAGGGATCATTCACAACCTTGACACCTATCTCTGCTTCTTAACCTGCCTCCCCGTAGTTTTTACTGCTTTTGGTTCCGCATTCCTGCCAAACCCTGACAGAACAAACTCACCAAGATGGACCCAGCAGTACTTTTTGAGGATGACCTTTATGATTTATCTCACAAACTTTTATGCATTCTTGTATGTGGAGGAGAGCACCTTGTAAAGAGGCTCAGGAGGCCGCTCTTTCCCTTGCATGCTGGGAAGTGGCTGATAAGCCCTGGTTATGGAGCTCACTGCCAGGCTTTTGAAGGAACTTTGTGAATTCCCCCGATAGACTGCACGCCTGCTTTAAACTCCTGTCACCCCTGTGCTCCGGATGCTGTGTCTCCAGACGGGTCCCACAGGCCTCCTGCCCGTCCTACAGAGGGGTCCTGCCGTCCTCCAGAGGGGACCCGCCGCATTCCAAGGCGACCTCCAGAGTGGTCCCTTTAAAAAACACAAAGAATCGTATCAAAATAAAGTATATTAAAAAATAAAAGCAGAACCAAATATCCCAAAAAAACACAGATTCAAAGCAAGATTTATTTAGACACCATAAAATGAACTGTTGTGGAAATATTTTCCTAGGCCCATAACTTTGACCTACCAGTTTGTACTGCCCTCGCGGAGCACAGGCCTGCGACCTTGGGCTGCTGTGCTCTCTGTGTCCCTATTCCAGCCTGTTGGCATCAGCTGATAGAGGTGTTATTGTTCTGTGCCTGATTTATCTTGTCATGCAAAATGTTAATTATTCTCTCATAACCAGCTAAATACATGGGACTGGGGGGAGAGATCTTCAGAATTGGTTTGGACAAGAGCTGTATCACCTCGTGGCTGCAGCAAATGTCTTTGTCAATCCTCCAGCCGTAACTTCAAATAAATAAGTTTGCCATCAAGTTCCTGCTCTCCCATAATCTCATTGTGTTTCGACTCCACACTCCAGAAACCTCAGATTATTTTTGATAAAGAGGGAGTCTGTGCAGCCGAGATGTGATTTATGCAGAATCTCAATTTAGAAGTAAACAGTTCTGTCAATTAATTGCTTGTCTTTGTGTTTAAGAGTTTTGAAACTTGTGCCTTTTTTGTCAAAGTGGCATGTTGTTGATATCAGTCTGTTGTAAATGTGTTTTTTGGATCGATGTGTATGAATGTATTTTGAAAATGGCAAATTTGTGAAATTAACTATTTTACATAATATTTATTTAAAATGTATTCCTGTTCAATACATAATACACTCAGTGTTTATTGACATGCATCTTGTGCAATTTTTGTTTCTGCTACTTGACCCCAAAGTGCAGAAGGTTCAATGTCTCTCTTGTTGCCTGCCTGTCTGTCTCATTCTGTCATTCAGTAGTTGTTATATTTTCTAAAGTCCATGGTCACTCTTTGTATGAGTGTGAAGCAAGTTGGTATTGACTAAACAATCTTGTTATGATGTGGAATCTTGGTAAATCTGGGCCAAATGTGGACTGTTTAAGTAAAAATGTAATGTATGTATTAAAATGTTAGGAAAATATCACTATTTTCTTTACTCCCCCACCCCTAAAAAGGGCTCATTGGTTATGCAGAGGTGAACGTTTCAGACTCTTATTCAAGGATTTTAATAAAAAGCAAGAGCTAAAACAAAAAGATGGTGGCCTTTCTTTCTGTTCACAGCAGGGGGAGACAGACACCACAGGCTGATGTAACCTGTTCTGCATCACATGAAGACCAGACAGTCATTTCCAGCCATGACATAGAGGCCAGTAATGTTGTCGCCTTTGCATCATCAGACAACATTTTTATTTATTTGTTACTGTCAACAATTACTACAAAAAGACCAACACCTACAATGTTTAGGACTTCCTTGTAAAAAAATGTAAGGCTTAAAGGGAATGTGTGATTTGTTGTTTTCTAACCTGAGAAATGCATATTCGTACTTATTATGTTTATGTAGAAATGTTTCTGATTTGGATTCTAAAAAAGTGAAATTATGATAAATGTAATTTAGTTTAATATGTGAATATTTAAAGTAGTACTTGTAAAATTATATTTGCATTTTTGTTTCATAATGTCATGAGGGCATCGTCACATGACAATGTTGTACTGGGAAATGGAAACTTAAATATATCCAGCCTCACCAAACCGGCTCACAGGTGATAAACACTTTCCTTTGAGCTCAGTTGATGTCTCACACCTGATAGAGAAGGCAGACGCTCATTCCCAAAGCCTGAAGATGGAAAGAATTTGTGAGTACACATTTTTATTTGACAATACTGTTACTTTATATTAATCAGAAAATGTTTTTGCTGAGGGCAGCACAGTGGGGATAACATGTTTTTGTTTTTTGTTTTTCATTTACAGGTGAGGCATACTTTGATGCCACAGGTAATACCTAATATAACCACTAACACCCACATTGTCTTTTGAATTTCAGAATCCCTTATGTTGCTCAGAAATGTTTATTCTTTTATATTATTCTCACAGGAGGTGCAGGGACTGAGGATGTGACTCCTGATATTTTGGCCAAAATGGGTTTCATCACAGTGGATGACATACTAGCAGCTATTTATCAGGAAATTATGTCTGGAGCAGTTTGGATTCTGTGGGCAATTTTGAAAGCAATCATGATCTCAATCTGGGCGTCAATTGGTAAACTGAATATTTGATTTCTTTATCTATATATTTTTCAGTGTATATATATATATGCTAAAGGAAGACAACTACACATTATTTATTATTATATAATTATTTCTGTTCTGTTAGAAATGTAATGATCTTATTATACAAGTTTGTTTTCATGTTGCTCATTGAACGTTTAAAGCAGCATCATTACATCACCACATGCAAGTAAATAAAAGGGAAAAGTCTTATTAGCATCTCAGTGTGAATAGCATTGTTTTTCTGTTTGTGTTTCATTAACAGGTGCAAGATGGTGGGGCGCAGGTAAGACCATTTGGAATGTACATTTTTGAACGTGCTAGGCGTATAGAGTCCAACTTAGTACGGGCCTATATCAACAGATCAGGTGTCCACCTGCTGCGTTGAAAAACAATGAATGAGTTTGAGAATGAGTATTCTTGACGAGGCTAAAAGAAAATTCAGGCAGCATTCCTACCTATATCAGTTTGCTCCGATTTTATTTCAGCTTCTTTTAAATGTAGTGTGTGGTCATGTGTCTCATTGTTGGTCTATAAGCTACTGCCTAAATATGCTTAATGATAACTTGGTTTCTTCTTTTCTAACGTCACATTGTTCTGTTGTCTTATATAATACGATTAAGTTAAAGCTCCAAAAGTAATGGAAAAGTAATCAGGTTACATTCATTTTATATTGTGATACTTAGATTAGGTCACACTGATGATATATATTTTTTTACAGGTAACTATAGTTACTGGAAAGAATACATTTTTAAAGTAACCCTCCCTCAGCTGGTTGTCCTTATCATTAGTGACCATGTCTCTTCTGCTTTAATCGTTCCCATTAGCTGGAGGAGCAGCCTTTGTGTTGGCGACTCCTGCTATTATAGCTGGCTTAGGTTTTACCGCAGGTGGAATAGTAGCCGGCTCCATTGCTGCCAAACTAATGGCGATGGCTGCAGTTGCTAATGGAGGAGGCGTTGTAGCAGGAAGTCTGGTGGCAATCTTGCAGTCAATTGGTAAACTGAACTATTTATTTATCTATTTTGATCTTAATAAACGTCTATCTATAAAAACAGTACATATCTGAAGAAAAAAATAAAGAAAGTGTAAAGTAAAAAGTAAACCTGTTTTAAAAGGTAACAGAAAGGCTCATATATATTTCTGTTCAAATGCCAAAGAGAGTGAATGCTCTTGTTCGACATCTCTGTATAAAAAGAAAAATAATTTGCATCTAAATAGAGAAAATAAGTAATTTTAGACTGTGGAATAAAAAGCTTTCCTTTTGGAAAGGCAATTGTAACATTGAGCTGTTATGAATCTCAGTCAAGTATAATGCGCTATCACTGCTGGTATGTCAGGGGCTACAATTGGAGCTGTGACTGGAGCTGCGACAGCGGCTGCGACAGCGGCTGGAGCTGCGGCTGGAGCTGCGGCTGGAGCTGCGGCTGGAGCTGCGACTGGAGCTGCAACAGCGACTGGAGCTGCGGCTGGAGCTGCGGCTGGAGCTGCGACTGGAGTTGCGACTGGAGTTGCGACTGGAGTTGCGACAGCGACTGGAGCTGCGGCTGGAGTAGCTGCGGCTGGAGCTGGAGAAACTGCTGCATGGATGCTGTCAACCATTTGTCACCAGATCTAATAAAGATTTACAGCATGGACAGTGGCGGCCGGTGGTCTTTTTTTTTGGTGGGGCTCTTGACGTACCGTAAGTGACCTACCCGGGGGGTCCGGGGGGTTTCCCCAGAAATGACCCCTTAAATGATGACTTCTGGTGATGTTAGAGGGGGGGGGAAAGGAGAAATCGAGGCTTAAAAATATGAGAAGACTGATCAATACCTCCATAATCTTCAGTGTGGAAAATATTATTTATCAACCTGAACATCTACTACTTTACCAGGAATTTGTGTTCTCAGAACTGGTCTGTTTTTTTCTTTCTTAAAACTGTTCATGTTTTATGAACCAACACCTTCACCAAGTAGCTTTACAGTGAACTGCATGTGAGATATAAAATTAATAGCATCTTTTCAGTAGCATTAATTATAAATATTTAAGTGGTTCAATACAAGTCACTACAGCATTTCAAACTGAACTGTGAATAAATGCAATTTAAAAAAAATAACCACAGCACAAAATGTCATAAATTGTGTTTTTTCTTTGTTTCTCTGAGGATTATTTACAAACAGGCTTATTTACATATAGCAATAACTCAGAAATGAAAAAGCTACATCGTCTAACACGAACAACCAGTTAGCATAATGATAATATATGTGTTATGTACAATGTAACTGGCAAGGCTAGAGCAAGAAAGAACATAAAGTTTGCAAAAGGTTTAAATAACTTCAAGTATCTGTCTTCAGATTACGTGGAGGTTTTAGTCCGATGGGAAGCAGATTTTAAGCGACACCGAAGATAAACCAAAAATGTGGTGGAGCTGCAAACCGTGTAGTGTTGCTGGGACAGAACAGGAGCTATAACCGTTGGAAAATACATCACAGACAATGCAACAAACGTGGAGACAGAACAATCACTTCTGTGATAAATGCCCACTTATTAATAAACTTCTAACAACCATGGGAAACCTCCTCTCTACATATAAAGTGATATCCAAGCATGGGAAACAAAAGACAGCATTTACCTGTTTGCATCCAGCTAGCCAAGCCTTTCTTGTGTACCAGCTACTTGTGAAGCCTCGTGTATAAATTTTGTCTTTTTCACGAGATTGCTGCGATATATTCAAATCGGGTTGGTCCGGTGCAAGGTCTTTAAGCAACAATTTATCTGCCAAACTTCTCCTTTCGAAAGGATTGGAGATTAGCTCTTGAACAGAATTAGGCGCGGACCGAGGTCCGGAGACTCCACCTGCACACGAAGCCATCCTCATCAACTACTGCGTCAACCGGATACGAGTCACTGTCCAAACTACTCACAGACTGCACTGGGCGCTGACATTGGCGCCCGGTGACCGTCATCTTTGACGACGCTGATTGGCTGAAATTATATTTTCGCGGCATAGTTTACACGTTACAGATAGCAACAGTCAGCTGCTGGTGGCTGCTGCTGCACTGGTTGAAGGCTCCTCTCTTAGCGCCCAGACGAGAGAAGGTGCATGGGCAAGGCCAGGCAGGAAACATGTGACTTATCAGTAACTTTAGACATCGTAACACAATTTTAAACGAGATTTTATTGTAGATTATACATTTTACTGATACCAATTATATAATATTTACCTTGTTCATTAAAAATAAAAATAAAAACATATATATTTTTTTAAACATATTTTTTTTTTTAATTTTAATTTTAATTATTATTATTTATTATTTTTTTCAATATGGGAAGAGGTGGGGCGGCGCCCCTAGCGCCCCTATGGACCGGCCGCCACTGAGCATGGATATGGGACACATTTAATCTTCACCTAATGGAGACAAATACTCATTTTGTGTATCTGTACTGTGATGAATGTCAAATACCAACATTAAACTGTGTTTGCCATGGCTTAAATCTTTGAGCATCAATCCAGAAGCAATTATATTTTTATGATGACATTAAAAGTCTAACATATCCAATTTTCATCTTGTAATTTATTATTTGTATAAGTCAAAAGTGTGTTTTATAATGTGGAAGATGATGCCTACATAGTGTTATTTGCAGGATGTGAATTAGCTCTAATTAATCTTTGTTTTTACACTATAACTGAATCTGAAGGCATTAACAGGATGCTTCTGTGCTCTGTGAATACTTTTATCTTATTATGCGGCCAATTCTAAACCCAAATAAAATGCATGAAAAATAAAGCAAATCTTTTTTTTATTTACCATTTCATTGACACAATTTCAATTATTTTACTGGAGTTTATGTAAAAGACTAAGAGTGAACGTGGTGCTTGAGCTGGACGACAGCATACTAACAATGAAAATACTGTGTGCTGATATTTGGCAGATATATTATTTGCCTTTTTTCACCTTGTAGCATGCTAACATTAACTAATTAGCATTAAGTATAGCTCTGGCTGTTAGGACTGTCGTGTCGCAGATTTCATCTTCCATTCATAAAATAGTAATCAAGACATTTCACTGAAAAAAATAAACTGTCAACCTCATGTTGGCACTTGTCACAGGATCCCTGTCGGGCCCTTTGGCTGCACGATCTGGACCTACAAAGAAAACTAAAAAAAGCAAACTAAGAAAAAAAGAACGTCACCCTTTAGTAGACAGACTTCAAGCAGGGAATGGCAACACAAAGAGACAATGAACTCACACATCTAACATTTCTGAGGTATTAAGCCATCACTTAATATGTTGCTTAACCAGTTTACTTCTGACTCCTCCTTATGATATGTGGACTAATGTCACAGCAGGATTTGGAAAACTTGTCCATGCTTTTATCTTCAGTAGACTCGACTACTGTAATGGTGTCTTTACATGTCTCACTAAAAAGTCTATTAAAAAGCTGCAGCTAATTCAGAACGCTGCTGCTCGAGTCCTCACTAACACTAAGAAAGTGGATCACATCACTCCTGTTCTGAGGTCTTTACACTATAAAGACCTCCTGTCTGTCAAAGAATCAATTTTAAAATACTGCTGCTGGTTTATAAAGCATTGAATGGTTTAGGGTCAAAATACATTTCTAATCTGCTGCTAAATTATGAACCATCCAGAACTCTCAGGTCTTCTGGGACTGGTCTGCTTTCTGTCCCCAGAGTCAGAACACGGAGAAGCAGCATTCAGTTATTATGCCATTTTAAAATGTGTTCTATTTTAATGTCTTTAATTCTTTGTAAAGCACTTTGAATTGCCTTGTGTTGAAAGGTGCGATATAAATAAACCTGCATTGCCTCATCATCAGCTAAGTAACATCTTACAGCTTGGTTTTACAGCCCGACTTAAGTGTGGCAAGAAAAAAGAATGCTAATTAATTTAAAAAAAAAAAGGTTAATAAACCAGTGAACTATTTTAGTCCTTTCTCTTAGACATAACAAAGAATGGAAAGATGCACAGGCGACACACTGAAAAAGGATGTTTAATAGAAGACCGATTTATTAAACAAAACATTTTGTATTGATGACAAAAGTGCTGTTTAGCCAGTGAAAGTGCTGTCAATTGTACTTTCCTCCTTCATTTGGCAAAGTACACATATTCATCCTGTTCCTTCATGATTTCTCAGATGAGGATTGCAGTTATCCATCCAATGGTTGCTCCGACGCCAGCCACACCCGCAGAGGCAGCTGCAGGCAGACCGGCTGCACCTACAGCAAGGATCAAAGGTTTAATATCAACTATGCAGACACTGAGAACTGATATGACCATATTATCATTAGTTTAACCAAAAGATTAAAATGCAAAACATAAAAGTGATGATCTTTACCTGCTGCCTGCAAAACAGCCACTGTAGTTCCGGCTGCCACTGCTCCCCCGTTAGCCACTGCAGCAGTTGACATCATGCCGGCAGCAATGGAGCCTGCGGCGATCCCGGCGGAGGTGAATCCTACAGCGGCCAGAACAACAGGAGCAGCGAAGACAGCTCCAACTGCAGAGGAAACGTTGTTAATGCCAATTTGTTTGGTGACTCCAAAATAAATAGTGAGTCAGAAATAGTAATCATTCCCAAATTGGGCTCAATAAAGAGTATCTAATCTGAAGTGTGTTTACAATCAGATGTAAAAGTCTTACCTGCTCCAGTACCAGCTAAAGCTGCAATTACTGAAACACAAGATGAATATCGAAATCAACATTAACATCGGGCTTAATCAATACCTTTGCTAAAGTAACAATCATTGTTATTTTTTGTAGTTAAAAATAGAATGTACGAAGTAAAAACTCGATGAAATTTAAAGTGATACTCACACAGCCCCATGACTTGATGTAGTGTAGTGTATAAGAATTGATGACCGGGTTTATATAGCCTGCCTAGCTTTCATTTCCTGAAAAATAAAACTGCTGTATAGGCTTAGGTTTCTCTTCTTGAAACCTAAGCCTTGTACAGCAGAGGGCGTCACACAGTGGCGTCGCCTGGCCTGGGCATCCGGGGCTTTAGCCCCGAATGTTTTTTCTGTAGCCCCGGACAATTCTCCCTCAATAATATAATACATTAACCGTGCTTTACGTGAACCTCATCATGACACAAGAGAGGACGGTAGGACTGTAATTTCCCGTGTTCAGTGAATGCAACAGAGGCATGACACCAGACCAATCAGAGAGTTGCATGGAAATAAACGTGTGCTTGTGTTATTCAAGCTCTGTGTGTGTGTGGCAATAGCGCATTTAGTGTGATTTAGAGATATAGAGAGAGAGGGACCGGTGCCAGCAGGGACCGTGTTGTTAGCATCTGGTTAGCTAAACTGATAAACGGACATAAGGAGCTGTTTGTTCCACAACAAGCTGGAGGAGAGTCCTCTGCTGACAGACTGAGAGATTCAGGTGAGCTAAAGGACTCTGTGTTTAGATAGTTAACTTTAGTTTGTTTTGTTTTGTTTTGTAGCCTTTATTTATCCAGGTTAAAAATCCCATTGAGATCAACGATCTCTTTTACAAGGGAGACCTGCGGTACATTGAGTTACACATATAAAAACAAACAGAAAACAAAAAGGACATCACAACATAATTTCAGGGGTATACATTAGCATCTATTTACATTTACAGGTATCCAATAATATTTCATCCAGTCGTGCTTTAAAACGATGCAAGGGAATCAAAATGCTGAGTTTCAATATTTTTTGCATAGTGTTCCAAGCTAGAGGAGCAGCGCACATAAAAGCTTTAGCACCTAAAAGTCTTAGCACTTTGCACATGTAATAAAAACACATCCTGTGATCTCAGGCAATAGCTACTTGCCACTCTCCGTGAGATCAAGGAGCAGATATAAGAAGGTAGTTTACCCAGCATGGCTTTGTAGATGAACATGTACCAATGACTGAGCCTCCGACCAGTAAGTGAAGGCAGACCTGCCTTGGCATACAGGGTACAGTGATGAGTAAGTGCTTTACAGTTAGTAACAAATCTCAGAGCACTGTGATAGGCGGCATCTAACCTTTCCAGGCAATGGGCAGGTGCATTCATGTAGATCAAATCACCATAGTCTAGCACAGGTAAAAAGGTCACAGTGACTAGCCTTTTCCTGGCCTCAAGCGAGAAACAGGACTTGTTTCTGAAAAAGAAACCTAATCTAACCCTCAGCTTTTTAAGCAGATTAGTGACGTGAAGTTTAAAAGTAAGACAATCATCAAGCCAGATATCAAGGTATTTATAATAGCTAACCACTTGGAGTACTTGTCCTTGCATAGTCACAATATCCAAAGCAGTCTCTGGTGTCTTTTTAGCTTTTGAAAAGAGCATTACTTTGGTTTTCTCAACATTTAAAAGAAGCTTTAGTTCAGAGAGCTGAGTCTGAATAATGTTAAAAACAGCCTGTAATTTAACAACAGCCTCCTTAATGGAGGGACCTGCACAGTACATCACGGTGTCATCCGCATAAAAATGCAAAGTAGCTTCATCCACATTTTCACCTAAACTATTGATGTAGATGGAGAATAAAAGTGGACCTAAAACAGAACCTTGAGGAACACCATTAGCAATGTTCAACCACTCAGAAGACAGCCCATCAAAGTGAACACATTGGGACCTTTCAGAGAGGTAGTTCACAAACCACCCCACTGCATGGCTGGATAAGCCAATACTGAGTAGCCTTTGCTTTAAGATGTGATGATCGACGGTATCAAACGCTTTGGAAAGGTCAATAAATAGAGCTGCACAACTCTGCTTTTTATCTAAAATACTTGTAATGTCATTCACCACTTTCATTGTGGCAGTGATGGTGCTATGTTGCTTTCTGAAGCCTGACTGATGTTTAGACAGGATGTCATTGTTACATAGAAACTCCTTTACCTGTTCACTCACTAGGCGTTCAAGAACCTTAGCCAGAACTGACAACTTAGAGATGGGCCTATAGTTATTTAAAACAGTTGCCTCCCCTCCTTTCAGCAAAGGCAGGACATACGCTGACTTCCACAGTTTTGGAATTGTGTTTGTGCTGAGGGAGAGGTTAAAAAGAGTAGTGAGAGGTGGAGCAATAAAATCTGCAGCTATCTTTAAAAAGAAAGGTTCCACGTTGTCCGGGCCGGCCGGTTTCTTAGGATCTAACTTGGTTAAAGCTTCACGAACAACATCAACAGTAAAAGGAGTAAAACTGAAAGGGTTTTCCAGACCACATTGTTCAGAGTCACAGACTGTGGTGTTCACAAAAGCAGAGTTAGTCACAGAATCAAACATAGAACCGCAGGACACAAAATGCTCATTAAAACAATTTAACATAGTAGCCCTGTCCGATATAGAGCCAGATGCTGTGGTAATGCACGGAGGTAGCTCATTTCGGATCTCACCGGTGGATAGCGATTTTATGGCTTTCCAAAATTTCCTAGGATTATTTAGGTTTTCTGTAGTAACTGACAAATAGTACTTCGACTTAGCATTTTTGACCTGTGAAGTGAAGCTATTTCTTAGTTGCCTAAAACGCAGCCATTCAACCTCTGAGCCTGATTTCCTAGCCTTTGCCCAGGCCTTGTTTCTCTCATGTAGGAGACTGGACAGTTCAGCAGAAAACCAAGGATTGTCTCGTCCCTTTACTCTAAAAGTACGTAGGGGTGCATGTCTATCTATAATTTCCATAAAACCAAGATAAAAATAAGACCATGCAGTTTCAACATCAGCACACAGATGGATTTTCCCCCAATCAAACCCAAACAGATCATGAACAAAACCCTGCTCCACAAAATGTTTTATGTGTCTCTTA